GTCCAATGTGGCTTCGCTCTGAAACAGACAAACAAACTTGAAGCATCGAATCATTTGGCCTAGTGAAGCGAGAACATTTTGACATTTGTACAAGTCAGAGGTACCGACTGTTTGTTTTCTCTCTTTCTTCTTTCCCTAAAGGCAAATCTCAGCAAGACGTGAAACTGGAAACAATAGCTGCCTTGCTGTTGGCGCTTATAAGTATTGCGATGTAGTTTTGAGAAAAACATGTATTTATACGTGTTGAGTTGTATCCAGTTGTGCTATTCTACAAGACATGTCTCAAAATCAAACATGATCAATTGTGCAATTCTGAAAAATCCTGAAACATATGCTTTCAGGCGAAAGTCGAAACACCCGAATGCTAGATACTTAGAATACTTAGAATTTTACATCAGAAAAACAGTTCTATTTTGAAAGAGTTTTATATTCTTTCTATAGCGATTGAAATCCGTATTAAAAATTTGAAATGAAACGCTGCGAACACTTGATATCTTATTGGTTAATATAGAAAAATTACGAGTTACGTAAATAAATGAGCAGAAACTTTTAAAACAGAATCAAACAGAAATATTTCGAAAGAAGAAAGCGATGAGCCCTTGAAAATTGTTGAACAAAGAAATATTTCTTGCCCTAATCAAACAACTTTGGGTAACGAGTCCTATAAAATCATTTTACAAAGAAGTAGATTTTACCCTGATCAATCAATTTTGTGTAACGAATCCTTTGAAATTATTTAACAAAGAAGTATTTCTGACCCTAATAAAACAACTTTGGGTAACCAGTCCTTTAACATTGTTGAACAAAAAAAGCATTTCTTAGCCTGATCAATCAACTTTGGGTAACGAGTCCTTTAAAATTGTTGAACAAAGTATTTCTTACCCTAATAAAACAACTTTGAATAACAAGTCCTTTAAACTGTTGAACAAAGAAGCATTTCTTACCCTAATCAATCAACTTTGGGTAACGATACCTTTAAAAATGTTCAACAAAGAAGTCTTTCTTACCCTAATCAATCAACTTTGGGTAACTAGTCCTTTAAAATCATTTAACAAAGAAGTATTTATGTTGTAATTGTGAACTGTAGACTACATGCAGATGCAATCCATAAAAAACTCCGGATCCAATACAATCTACTATACTTAAAATGTATCTAAAACAGTTTAGTACCAAGTTTAATTTAATGTAAAATGTTCCCATTCATTAAAAGAAAATGGGAGACAGCACACGAAAACAGTCATGAAAATGAAATGGCAAATGTATATATATTTGTTTTTGTTTTACAATAAATGAAGATCCAAAACACGTATTTAAACTAAGAAGTAACGCGACCTTACTAGACACAGAATGTAGAAATGCAGGCATGCCGATCATAATCGATACGAGCCCTGGTGTTTCGAGCTGAAAGTAACTCTAATTCGTAAATAATATAAAATACAAATTAATATAGGATTGTTGTTCAGAGATAATGAGCAACTCTTGTTGCTCCAAGTGAAACTTAATTCGCGAACGTGATCTCTTATAGAGATCATTATTCTCCAGGTGACTTAAGTTATTGTTATGTAATCACGCTATGGTAACACATTAGGATACCAATCACTTCGAGGATATATTTTGCCTAAAGCTAACAGACAGAATCTACCACTTTGTTATATTCTTATGACAGAAGTTGAGGCATGCTTTGCCTCTGAAACTATGTATTTTCTGTAGAAGTAAAGAGATGGGTGTGATCTAGTTGTCAGTGTGTTGGACTGTGGATCCGAGGGTCCACGATTTGATCGCATTGCCTTAAGAAACAAAAAATAGCGTTCTGCTCTATGCGTCCGCGGGTGGGTATTAGGAGTGACAGACAGATCCCAGTACCAAAGTAGCTGAAGCGAGTAAAAAGATTTATATTAGCAGTCAAAACCTAACTGATAACGTGTTGATTTCACCATCAACGCATGTTATTATTAACATTAGAACCCACGAAACACACGCTAAAAGAGACGACCGATAACATTTCCTCTGACATGATGCAGAAATCCAATGTCTGCTTGGTTTATTTGCTTTGTTGCTAAGCGTAAAACTACGCAATGGCCCATATGCACTGTGACCACAAAAGAGATTGAACCAAGATTTTTAGTGTTATAATCATTCAAGCTCACTACTGAACCACTTAAAATTAGGCTATATTTGTTTATAAAAAAAACAAAATCTTAATCAACCTTCACGAAAAGGTAACCATGTAATGAAACATTGCACCATAAACCGCAATTACAGAAGGAGTTCCTGGACCTGGACACCACAAAAGTCTTAACGAATAGCGTTTTTGACACTTATTTGTAAAGAGGCTGTAACTCTTGCATCTATAGATTTACTCCAAGAGGTCTAAACCTAATCAAATTCACATCATAAAAATATGTTAACTCTAATATTGATTCATCGCCTGTTTTATAGCTATGATCTTACAGTAAATAATGTTTACTTAATTTATGCTCACTTGTCACTGATGATTTCGTTTGGCGAAGTTTGCTGTCAACAAATTCAATCTAGATTGAATCCAGACAATATTAATTGGAGAATAAGTGGGGCAGTGAATGCAATTTACGTGTGTTTGTTTCAGCTTTTCGCGCAGTGTCACAAAGATTATTTGCGTATAGCTGTGCGCAATTTTGAGCTGAAAGACTATAGGGAATGCAGCTAGTAAATAGCAACCACTGCCAACAACGAATAGTGAAATTTTACCGTTACTTTTTAGCATACCCACAGTCCCAAAGTACGGAGCACATTTCTGCGACAACACGAGACACGTACCATGAATCAGTGGATCCACAACTCAGGTACTGTAACATGTAGGTCACGCCCTTCCTAGCAATATATGCAGCTAGATATTTTATTATCGGACCACTATAAATTAGTATACTGACTATATCACAACTTTACTAACTGAAACGGTCTCCGAAACGTTGTTTATTTCGCAGTAAAGAAATTTGGTATCGAAAAACGTGGAACATGCAAACAACGTAATCAAGTGAAAAAGAGGATCTGCATGTGTCGATCT